TGGTGCCTACTATTGTCAGCGCGCACACTTACTGCGCATCTGCATCGAGGTTCCCGCGGGTTTCAAAAGCAAAATACTCAAAAGTACAGAAAACGTCGGCCTTGGAAAAAATTAAGACCAAGAACAACAGGAATAACTATTATTTATGTAGTCAAAGATGGATCACAGAGTAATCTTCAATAATTCAGGTGTTTTTGGCGAAAAATCATGTTTTTACTTTCTAGATAACAGTTTCGATGGCCTCGGATCGGTGGATAATTAAAGAACTTTTTCAATATTTCCATACAGATAAGCTTAGTTTGTTTTAAAGTTAAATGAAAATTGAAAAGGAATCACACATTACACCAAATATCAGCCATTCATTTAGCTTTTCCTGCGAGTACAATTACATAAAATAAGTTTTTGTCGTTAGAAGACCTCGTATTTACATAAACTGTCTTTCACTCACTCAAAAAGTATATTCAAAAACGTTCACGCAAAGAGCATACTGACAAAGAAATTTATTATTTTGATTTATTAAATCTGTCTCTTGCACTTGTGAAGTTAAACTAAATGTAGGTTTGTGTTTTACGAAAGTTTTTGCCTTGTTCTTGCTTTGCATGCACGACTGCCGTGAAATATTCATCAAAATTTTGTTGTCATCGTTTTTCCTTTTCGTTATTTTTTTTTTGTCGTTCTTGGATTTATACTGTTAAACTTCTTCTTAAGTAAGTGTTAATAGAGACTAGGGGCGTCATGGTTTACGCTGGGGGCGCTATGGTAGTACAGACTGGGGGCGTCAAGGTATACGTGGGGGCGTCATGGCTGGGGGCGTCATGACCGTGATTCAGCAATTCTATGTGAGTAAATGAGGTTAGTTATCATTCAAATCATTTTTTTCCATCATTTTCATTGGTCAACATGACTGCAAAATAATATCTGCCTACAAATAATAATATAATAATGTGCGCATTAGGATGCCAAGCCATTTTGCCGAAAGTAATACCCTGCTCATGCGCAGTATGATTGGTATGATAAGATTAGTATGATACTAGTATATACCTTTTACCATCCAAAACCACCAGTCCACAAAAAGAAATTGGGAAAAAATAATTTGAATGATTGCGTTATGTAACAGGGTTGTTAAGTAATGTGTTATAGAAATGTTATTTTACGTGTTATGTAACTGCATTAAGTTATGTAACAGATTAGGTTTTGTTACTTGTTACGTAAAACGGTAAAAATCAACACAMAACCTATCAAATTCATGTACTAAAGTCCATGCTCTATAGCCAAAATAGGCCTAAAATGACCCTTTTCCAAATTTGCAATTATTATTAATATAAGTGAAAAAATACCAAAAGACGATCAAAACCATGAGTCCATCCTTTTTGGCCAAAATGGGCCAAAAATGACCCTTTTTCAAATTAGGATAATTGATAATGAAAGTGAAAAAATTGGGCTGTTGGGCTGTTGGGGGTACTATCGTCGTGTACGGATTAACGAAGTACGTCATAGGTTTCCGAACACACGAGTGGGACTTAGAAATTTTGGTTCTCCTCACTTAGAAAAAAAATTAAGTGAAGACACCAAGAATCGAACTCGGTACCTTCGGCACCAAAGAACTACTACAATGCCAACCCCAACCCTAAACCTAACCCCTAGACCACGAAGTGAATTCGGTTGGGTGGTCTCATTTTTAGTCATATTTAAACGATGTATCATCAGCGCGTGCACGTAAATATTTATTATAGTTTAATTTATGCTATCGTAGGGTACGATTACTAGCCGATTACTTGAAATTTGAATTTGAATAGAAATTCCTTGACAATTCCCGTACACGACGATATAACCCTGTTGGGCTATTGGGCTACTTATTGGGCTACTTATTGGGCTATTGGGCTACTTATTGGGCTACTTATTGGGCTA